GGGGGGGAGGGGGTGGAGACCTCGTTCGGCGTGGCGGCGCCGGTCAGCGCGCCGTCCGAGCTGCTCGAGTAGACTAGGTAGTCGAGCAGCTGTTCACAGCAGCAGGTGTGAAGACGGCGAGCTGCCAGGAGGGGACGTGCGTGCCACATCTCGTCCTCCTCTTGTTCAGGTCTCGTTCTCATCGCGTCCTCATCTCCCCCATATCTCGTCCATGTCTCGGCCGCATCCCCGCGTCCTCTCGGCACATCTCCCCATCTCTCCCCACAGCTCCCCATATCTCCCCACATCTCCCCCATATCTCCCCACATCTCCCCATATCTCCCCCGCGAGCCCGGCGCCGCTGTCTAATGACCAGACACAGGCACTACTACTACGGCGGCAGAAGCGGCCACGCTCGCCTCGTAGCTGTCGCCGTCCGAAAAGATGGCGGCCAGGTCGTTTGTGGAGGTGTCCCAGGTGTATGGGCCAATCGCCCCCGTCGCGCACGCCGCGGGGAGGTCCAGGCCAACCTACATGGTGAGCTACATGGAGAGATGCACCATCAGGGCGGGAGTACAGTAGCGCGCAGAGTTTTCAGAGCACCACACGTGAACTAAAAAGGGCCGAAGACGAATCGCGCAGGAGCATTCGGAGCACCACACGTGAGTGCGAATACGGTCGAATACGGTCGAATGCGGTGCACCATCAGGGCGGGAGTACAGTGGCGTGCAGAGATTTCAGAGCACCACACGTGAACTAAAAAGGGCCGAAGACGAATCGTGCAGGAGCATTCGGAGCACCACACGTGAGTGCGAATACGGTCGAATGCGGCTGGTTGCGTGTCCTCTCGAGCGGAGGACAGCTGAATCAGCGAGTGCAGCGGAGGACGCGTCCTCTCGAGCTGGGGTACAAGAATGCCTCTTCCGCTTCTTCGCTCCGCGCTGCCAGATATGGGGGAGATACAGGGGAGATATGGGGGGATCTTCCGCTTCTAGGCCGCCCCGCACCGCGCCCATCTTTTGGACGGTGAGCTGGTCGGTGATGAGGCTGCAGTCGGGCGTGGCGGAGGCGGCCGCGGCGTAGGCGTCCTCGTTGAAGTCGCCTGGAGGGGGGGGGGGGGGGTGTCTCACCCGGATGGCGGAAGGGACTCAGGTAGGTGTGTGTGTGTGTGTGGGGGTGATGCCACGTCTCTCTTGATCAGATCTCATCGCATCACACACACACACACACACACACACACACCTCGCTCGAGTCTCTCCCTCTCGATCTCGGATGATCTCGCCACCACAGCCCTATCACGCTCTTGTAGGGCCAGGGCGGACAGGAAGGGGCCAAGCGGTCGAGGAGGAGGGATGGCTAGGAGAGGAGGGAGAGTTCGTTGTGGGAGGGGTTCTTAAATGGGACACGGCCCTCATCACGCTCTGGTAGGGCGACACCTCGCCTCGGACATGCGAGGCCCGAGGCGGAGGAGGAGGGGTGGCTGGGCGAGTGTCACACAGTGCCAGGAAGGCTCGGGGAAGTGTCTAGGAATGGCCCGCCTCCGGACAGTGCCAGGAAGGCTCGGGGAAGTGTCTAGGAATGGTCCGGAAGTGTCTAGGAATGGTCCGCCTCGGGGAAGTGTCTAGGAATGGTCCACCTCCCATCACGACGCTGTACGCGAGTCCGGCACCGCCGAGGGCAGCGGCGACGGAGTCTTTGAAGGCAGCAATCTCCGACATCTGGTACGTCCGGATGTCCTCCGCTGTCACCTGTTCACGCGGCAACAGCCGTGAAGACACGCCGCTTCCGCACACGCTCCACAGAGCCGACATGTCCGAGATGTGTCCGAGATGTCCGAGATGTGTGCGAGATGTGGACGGGAGATGGTCGAGAGATGGCCGAGAGATGCAGTTGGCTAGGCGAGCCCGGAGGGGGTGGTGGGGAGCAGTAGGAGTCTCACAGGCAATCTCGGGTCGTCTCGGGTAATCTCGGCCAATCTCGCGCACCCCAAAGTCGTACTCGGGAAACGCGTGCAGGTCGATCACCACGGCAAAGACGCCTAATGCCGCGAGATACCCCGAGATCAGCCGAGATACCCCGAGATGCCCCGAGATGCCCCGAGATGTCCCGAGATCAGCCGAAGTGCCACGAGATGCCCCGAGATGCCCCGAGCTGCCCCGAGATACCCCGAGATGCCCCGAGATGCCCCGAGATGCCCCGAGCTGCCCCGAGATACCCCAAGATGCCCCGAGATGCCCCGAGATCGCATCTTGCACTGCGCGCGCTCACCGTCCGCCGGCTCAACCAGCACAGCCGTGTAGCCGGCCGGCGCCGGCAAGCCGTGCGCGCACCAGTTTTGCTTCGCCACGGAGAGGAGGGGGAGGCGCGAGAAGGTCACGAGCCCGCCTGCGCTCGCACGACGTCGGGGTGATCTCGGGTGATCTCGTGTGAACACGTGTGACCTCGTGTGACCTCGTGTGATCTCGTGTGATCTCGTGTGATCTCGTGTGACCTCGTGTGATCTCTGGAGATCTCGGGTAGTCTCGGGAGAGATCTAGGGTGATCTCGGTTAGCAGAGAGATCTAGCGTGATCTCGTGTGACCTCGGGTGAACTCGTATGATCTCGTGCGATCTCGTGCGATCTGGTGTGATCGCGTGTGAAGGAGCCCGCCGGAGGCGAGGCCGGTCAGCGAAACGAAGCCCTGCTTGTCCGCCAGGTCAAAGAGCGGGCCTGGCGCGTCGGCGCACTGCGGGTCCGACGCCGTAGGCGCGGAATCGCCCGTGCTGTGGACGAACCCTCTCGCGGAGAGCGCCGCGGTCACGTCTGCAAAGTTCTCCGCGGCGGTTCCGAGCTCCTGCGGCGAGCGAGTGAGTCGATGGGCCAGGGTCGGGCGCTCTCGGCGCTGCGGCAGCGGCGGTGGAGGACGCGACATGGGTAAGCGTGCGCAGCCGCGCCTGCGCAATGATGACATCCACCGAGTCGAGGTCAGGGAGGCCGCTGTACGCAGACAGATTGGTGCCGCTGATGGCGTCGGCTATCAGGCCGAAGCGCGTGGCGCAGTTGTCGCATCCCGAGAGCGGAGCCACGTCGCGGCAGGCAAAGTTGACGGTCAGCACCGTCAAGGTCGTGGCGGTCGACGGCATGCGCCGGGCTCACAGCCACGCACACAGCGAGCAAAAAGCGCGCGCGGCGTGCGTCCCTTGTGACGTGTTGTCTTTTTTTTTTTTTTTACGATTCACTTCGAGAGAAACAACGCTAGGCGGACATAAGGGGAGTGACAGTTTGGTACACAGACGAGTACTCCATGTGCAAGAACGCAGATAAAGGACTGGGGGTGTTCCGGCCCACAAGTCCGGCTCATGCGCCCCAGCCAGGCTGACCATCTACCGCACGGGCCACTTCCGCCCCCTCGCTCCCGACCCATCCACCTCGCCTCGGGCCGCGCCGCGCGATCTCGGGCGATCTCGCGCTATCTCGGGCGATCTCGGGGCCGCGCCGCGCTATCTCGGGCGATCTCGGAGCGTCGCTCGCGCGGCGGCACACCTGCTCAAAAAAAGGAAGGGCCCGTTGTGGGGTGGATCGGGTCGGGGCGGGTCGGGGCGGGGTTGCTTGGGGCGGGTTGGGGCGGGGTTGTGGGGTGGGGTGGTAATGTCGGGGTGGGGAGTGGGTGGGCGCCGGAGTGGGAGTGGTGTGGCTGCTCCTGTGGTGCGGGCGACGGCTTCTGAGGAGAAGCCGTCGCCCGCGCCTTCCCTTTCGCGCGAATCGTGTTGTGCGACCGCCTTTTGTAAAATTCTTTTTCAGGGGTGAGGGGCTAGGGTGATTAGAGTTCTTTTTAATCCTTCCATGTACTTAGGTTACCACCAACACCTCGGAGCCGGACCTCGATATCCAGATACCCCGGCGCTGCGCATGCGTCCAGCGGCAAGGAAGAAGAAACCACCCACCACCCACCCACCTACGTCAAACCCCACCCACCCACGTCAAGCCCACCCGCCCGCCCACCAAACCCCCGTGCGCCCCCACCGTCGCTGTACGTCGTGCTTCGCTCCTTCGCAGCCGCAGGGTCTGCTGCCCTCTGCCGTGCTCAGGCGGCGGTCCCGCCAGACCCTGCGCCCTTGCCGCCCGGCCGGGGCTGGAGAGGCTCATTCGAGGTCGATGCCGCGCTCCTCGCACACGGCCACCAGCTCAGGCTGCTCCGTGTTGTCCACGACGAGCTTCTGCACGCGAGGGGATGTGCGATGAGCATTAGGCGGGGGAGGGGCGAGTGGCGAGGGGGGCGTCTCGCGCCTTCAGGCTCGGGGCGGCCCCCTCCTTGAGGGCGGCGGCCAGCGCCTTGCAGCCCTCGTCGCCAATCTTGTTGCGCTGGAGAGAGAGCGTCTCGAGCCGCGGCGCTGCCCCCTCCTTGCCGAGGGCGGCGGCCAGCGCCTTGCAGCCCTCGTCGCCAATCTGGTTGTAGCTGAGCCAGAGCGTCTCGAGCCGCGGCGCTGCCCCGCTCGCGAGGACCTCCGCCAGCTGCGCCGCCTCCGCGTCGCCCCAGCCGAGGCCGGCGTAGTTCAGCTCGGTCGCCTTGCCAAACTGCTCCTTGAAGGCGGCCTCGTACAGCCGCTTCACCAGCGGCTTGTCGTCCTTGCCGTTGGTGAAGCTCTTCGTCTCCAGCTCCGCCGCGAACGCAGACGGCAGCAGCGGAGGGCGCCGGCCGCCGTCCTGGATGCAGTCGAGGGTGAGGCTGCCGCAATCATACTCCTCGCCGGCGCGCATCTGGCCGAGGTCAAGCGAGAGGTAGCCAGCCTTTGTCAGGCCACCCCAGCTGCACTCCGTGTAGCACCAGCCGCGGTCAAAGTACTTGGCCACGTTGGTCCCCTCGGCCTGGTCCTCCGCCTTGTGGCCGTCCGGGAAGGAGGTCAGCCGCAGCACGCGTGTGTACGGGTGGGAGTAGAGCGTGCCGAGGCAGCCCAGTCCCTGCTTGAAGAGCACGTTCTGCTCCTCGGTGCGCATGACGCCGTTGGCGGGGTCGGGGTGCTGGTGCAGCGAGCCGAAGTCCCAAAAGACGCCGAGCCGCGGGATGTACGGAGAGGTGAGCAGGGCCTTGAGCGCCCTTGCGACGCGGTTGAGGTTGGCTCCGAGCGGGTCGGGGTGGTCCTTGGTCAGCCACGGGTAGGAGAGCGCGGCGACGGGAAGGCCGGCCGCATGCTCGCCGGTCGCCTCGACGAGGTCGGCGAGGGAGAGGAAGGCCTCCTTGGGCAGCGCCTGGCGGTGGGCGAGGACGCCGCCCGCCTCGGCGTGGCGGATGATCCACTGCGCGTCGAGGAGGGCGACGGCCCCGCTCGCGAGGACCGGCTCCAGGTCGCCGCCGCCGCGCTTGCGCCACAGCTCCAGCTTCGTGTCGTCCACACTGAGATCGACGGCAGTGGCAAGCGGCGCAATACTCGTGGCATCGGCAGGAACTGGCACAGAGCTGGTCGCATCGGGCGAACCCTGCGAGACAGGTTCGGACGCCTTGGATGCCGCTCGAGGCGAGGAGGGTTGCGACGAGCGCTCGGCCCGAGATCTCAGCACGGCATTGCGTCGTCGAGGCGGAATTTTCTCGAACCACGCGCGCATGGACATCATCGCGATGGTGCTCAACGCGTGATTTTTTTTGAGAGCGCCTTCGTTGTTAATAGTACAAACCCAATGGTCCTCTGCGAGCGGTCCTTCGTTGCAGACGCACACACGCACACGCCGCGCCGCACCGCGCGCCCGCCCACCGCCCCGCCCAGGCGGGAAAGAGGTGGGGAGATGGGACAGCGAAGGAGGAGTACGAGCACGTATGGGAGGGTTCAGTAATGCGCCACGCTGCCCGGCGTTTCTCACTTTCCGGGACAGCCCCGCCCTTGTGAGGCAGGAAAGTGACGGCTACCCCGTACGCGCCTGCCGCTCTACTCGTCGCCGACCGCCCATTCCCCCCTCCTCGTTCCCCCCTCGAATGCTCCGGACCCCGACAAGCCGCCCGACGTTGGGCCTCTGCCCCGCACGCCCCCGCCCCTCGCTCACACCCCGGCCCGACACGCACTCTGCCCCGCACGCCCCCGCCCCTTCTGCCCCTCGCCCAAGAGCTTGATGAAGCGCGCCACGTCAAGCTCCGTGTCCTGCCACTTCCGTGACTGCAGGATCTTGAACTTGCGCGCGTTCGCGGAGAGGTTGAGCTCTCGCTCCGAGAGCTTGACGTAGGCGGTGCACCACTCCGCCGCCCGTTCGATGTCGGCGGCCTCGCGGACGACGGTCGGCGCGTGGGCGTCGTCGGCGATGCACTTCGGTACAACCTCCGGGTACCTCTCCTTGAGCGGCTTAAGGACGAGGAAGCAGACGGCGATGCAGAAGCTTAGCATGGAGAAGAGGCCGCCTTGCGTGAAGCCGAGGCGGACGGCGAAGCGGTCCAGGCTGCCGTCGACGACTGTCAGCACCTCGCCGTGGTGGGTCCGCAGGAAGGCGAGGTCGTCGAGCGCTGCCTCCGCCGCCCGGACCACCTCGTCTGCGTCCTTGATGGCGAGCCGCGCCCGCGTCGCGTCGTCGAGTTGCTTGACCCACTCGATCAGCTTCAGGGTCGCTCGTGCCGACGAGTCGAGCAGGCTCGTCGAGTAGGCGTTGGAGTAGTCGAGGGCGATGATGATGGCACGGCTATCGAGCGCAGGTGAGTCGCAGTACAGCTGCAGTGCCGTGGCGACGCCCTCGCCGCCGCTGGGCAGGCCGACGGCCATCTGACCGAAGTAGAGGAGCACGGGGCCGATGGTCTTCGCCGCCCAGCTCGCGCGCGCGCGCCACGCCTCCTTGAAGAGGGCCTCGCCCATGCCGATGGGTCGCGTGCCGGCGAGCATCGACGGCGTCCCGTCATCGAGGCGTTTGAGCAGCTGGGTCGAGAGCACCGTCGCCGCGATGCGCGTGATGCAGTCGGGGATGGCAAAGCGCTCGATCGCCTCGAACAGCACGACGAAGCCGCCCTCGAGCTCCTCAAAGAAGGGCTTGAGGTGCTCGGTGCGCATGGCGGCTGCGGCTATCGCCACCACCGCCCCGGCCGCAGCCCAAGTCCAGGCGCGGTGGGCGTGGCGCGCACCAATGGCAGCGGCGAGGGCGGAGACCGCGAGGCAGGCAGCGACGAGTCCGGCGGCGGCGAACGCGCTTATGGCCTCTCCCCTCGCCGGGCTCGCGTCCGCAACGAGGGGGGTTCTCACGCCTGACTCCACATCGTCGGTGCCCTCTCCGTGCGGGGCTGGCGGCGACGGCGGTGGCGGAGGCGGCGGCGGCGGCATGGACAACGCCCACCCTCGCTCGGGCATCTCCTGCCTGGGCGGCGGCGGCAGCGGCATCCACGTCCGCGGTGGCGGCGGTGGCTCCCACCCCGGGGGCGGCGCGAAGGCTGGCATCGGTGGCGGCAGTGGTCGGGGCGGCGGCGGCAGTTGCACCGACGGCTGCGCTGGGGGCGGCGGCGGCGGGAGCGCGTTTAGGAACGCGCCAGCAACGGCCGTGGTGGGCGGCTGCGGCGGTCGTGCCGTTGGCTGTGCCGGGGGTGGCGGTGGCGTGAGCGCGCTGAGGAACGCGCCGGCTTCCGCAGTGGCGGTGCGCCGCCTGCGTCGGGGTGCGTGTTGCAAGCGCCCGCCGGCCTCGTCGTACGCCACATTTTTTTTTGTATAGCTTAACAACAATCAAATCTGGACCGGCTGCACCGCTGCTGGAGCTCTTTCGCAATCTCAATCTCCCGGTGGATTAGGAGATTCGGCGAGATTCGCAATCCTCAGCAGAGGACGGCGCTCGCAACCTCCCGCGTTTGAGATTCGGAGATTGGCCGAGATTAGCAGACGGCGGCGCTCGCAATCTCCCGCATCTGCGCCGCGACCGCCGGCACCTCCAGCGCCAGGCAGATCGCGTGCATCTCCCGGTAGGACCTGATTATGATTAGCGCCCTGGTTATGATGACTAAACTTGAGAATTCGGCAGAATGGCATGATCCCGGCAGGACCGCTTCGCTTCCGCCGGGGCATTCGCGTCGACTGTGTGGAACTGGTAGAAGCGGTAGAGGGCGCACGCCTATAAAACAACCGGGCTTTGAAAGAAAAAGAGGAATCATCGCCGCAGTGCAGAGCACTGCGTGGTGAGTACGGGGCTACGA